GGAAAAATCATTAGAAGCCACCGCTTAATCCCCTCCTTTGCTTAATTTGATTTGAGCGTTCGTTTTCTTTATAAAATGGCTCGACAACAGACCACAACGTTCTACCTTCTGGAGTTGTTAATGTGATATTGGCTGAATTATCTTTATTAACAAGTCTTTCTAGCAGCAATAAAACTGCTTGTCTGAAATCTTTTTCCTCCTTCTTTTCCTTTGAGTCAACTACAGGTTGATTACCAAAGCCACTCTGTGCGGATAATATACCAATCGCTTTACCAATGAGCTCCCATGCGCGCGTGGCTTTTGTTGGAACCAATGGTACAGCCATTTCTGGACCAGCTTCGCCAAAAATCGAAGGTTGGTTAGCAATGCCACCGTTTGCATACCAGTTATGCGCTTTACGGAAAGCAACTGCTTTTTCTACAGTCCCATAACGGTCTTTAATGTAATCCATAATGCCCATTAATTGAGCGATTGGATTCCATTTATTACCATGGTCCGAGTAGTAATGCATGTTTTCAGCCGACATCTGACCCATGCCCCAGTGATTGCCATTAGTTGCTCGAGGATTCCAACCAGATTCAGCTGTAACAATGTAATTGATATTGTCCCAATCCTTTTTAGGAATGCCAGCTTGCTGCATCCAGTGCGAATGATCTCCGCTTGGTTTGCCGGCAATTCCAGTACTAGAAGTGCCGAATTCATCAGCGATCTTACTAATCGTTTTCCAAAAACCTTTGCCAACCTGATTTTTAATTTTCTTGGCTAACCAGTATCAGCTTTTACTTTATCGCTATCATCATCTTGTTTTAGACCTTTAACACGCCCAAATTTAGGACTACCTTTGCCAACGACTGAATCCAAAGTGTTCATGTGAATACCTTGCGATGGTGATTGTGCACTGAAGTATTGTTTCCTCCAGCATACACACCAACGTGGTCAGAACCACCTGAACCCCAGAATACTAGGTCGCCACTTTTTGCTTGTGCCTTACTAATGTGTTGAGTCCTATCATATTGCGCACCACTAAAGTGGGGATAGCTGATTCCATAAGCTTTTTTAAGAGCATATAAAACTAACCCTGAACAATCAAATGTAGTAGGTCCATAAGCACCCCATACATATTTATGGCCTTCACCGTATTTTTCAACAGCCTTTAATAAGCCAGATGCATTGCCATCATTAATCTTGTCGTTAACCATCTTCCATAATTGGCTCCACCAATCAACAGCCTGGTTACCAATCTTTTTCAGAGAACCATCGATTAACGACTTCAATGCTTTCCGACTACTATCTGTAAAATTAAAAATCTTGTCTAACGTATTAGTTGGATTTTTGTTATATGATTTTGCTTGCTCATATAGCTTCTTCAGATAGCCAGTACCACTTGCAAAACGAGTTAATCCTAACATCTTGCTTTCACTTGCATTGAAAACTTCATCACCAGGATTAAGCAATGCTGGCACATTAACACCTTGAAC